GTTATGTTGGACGGAGCTCCTCTGGTGCTCATCAATAGTCTTCCTCACTGTGTCCACTGATTGAACTCCATCCTTGTGCATGCTCGTTTCATCTTTGACTGATGCTCATTTTTTCTTTGGCTGATCTTCCAAACCAAACCCAGTATCTTCTGGTACCTATTGTTTTGACTCAAGATCCATAACCAGTGCCCATTGTTTTAATTCAGAGTCCATAACGATTTGTACAGTGTTCAAGGCACACACCATACTAGCTACCTACTCCTAAGGGCTTTAGTGGGCTTAATATTCTCATAGCTGCTATAACTCCATTTTAAAATCAAAATCATATTCTAAACCAAAATCAAAATAATGTTCTAGGATTCAAGCTATTTTATTAAGGTAACTGCAACAAGGGCAATCAGGACATGTTTAATAATGATGCACACTAGGAAAGATGCTAGGGAAGGAAAGGTCTGGTGTGCTATTTGCCAGCTGAGAACAGCAGACATGGGTGTCTTAAAGGCAGCTTTAAATGGCCCCAACTCCACCAGTCTTGCTGGAGTCAGACTGGAAGGGAGGGCTGGAGCTGGTCCCTGCTGGGACAAGTCACAGCAAGACCCAGGATGTGTCTGGAAGGGGAACGGGAGGCAGGAGTGAGCGCTGCAGATCACCCATAGACATGGGACCTGCACAGAGCCACTGCCTGCACCTCCCATGGCCAGATCTGGGGTGACCTCATGGTGCAGAAATTGAATGGCAGGAAAATGAGAGACTCTCTTTTGACCTTGAGTCAGGGTGTTTTCTTTTCAGAAGGCACGGGGAAGATGTTGGCAATGGAGGTGATCTCATTTCACAAACACCAGTCATCTCAGTGACTGGCATTAATGTCTGGGCTTGAACCCCGCAGTCTCTGCACCTGCCTGGCAACTTTCTTCTGGGTCTCAAAGAGTCATTTTGAGGGTCACAGACAAAGAAATATACGTCAAAAGCAGATCAAAAAGGTGTGTGTGTGTACTCTAGCCATACTTCTCCATAGCAGATTTGTCCACCTGCCGTCGGAAGGATGAAACATTTAGGTCACTTTTGCAGTTATGAACAAATAGGACATTTAGCTCTCACTAGAGCACACCCCTGAAAGCAAACAGGGCTGGGGCTCATCAGCACCGAGGACCTGAGGGGAGCCACGTGTGAGTGGGTGTTCCTGTGGGCCAGGCACCCCATGGCCCTTCCAGGGCCCGTAATGCTCCACGCTCAGGCACCACATCACCCTGAGACCTGGCCTGCATTTTAACAGACAGACACCCCTTTGGGTGAGATTATCTGAAGACAATTGAGGGCCAGACTGTATGTGGCAGGCAGCTGGGGTTTTGTCACCTTGCCAGAGCTCAGCCAGGGCAGCATCACCTGGGACCGGTGCCGGGTGCTGCACATGGGCCAGGCATGGGCACAATGGGAAACAGCCTTCTCCCTCCTGGAGTGCCCAGGTGGACGCAGAAGAGGCTGGTGCTCAGCCCGTTCATCAGGAGCCGGTAAAAATTAAGGTAGTTATCTAATTAGTTAATCAAGGACCCTCTGTGGGAGCCCATGAAGGCAGCAGGCGTGGGTGCCACAGGGGCTGTGTGCGATGCCGTGTGCTGGGGACATGATACAGTTTGGGAAGATGGTCTCCAGCAAGCTTTTCACCTGGTCCCATGGGGGCTCATGGGCTCTGCCTCGCCCCCAGTTTGCCATGCCTCCTCTCAGCCCTAGCTTTCTGTTGCCCTGAAGTTTTTGCAGGGAGAACTTTGCCAACAAAATTGTTAAGCCATTACCTGCGACTTGGCTCAGGTATACCTAGTATAAACTGAAGTATTACCTTTTATCAGATTTTTTTTTTAGCTGAACTATTCTAAATACTGTTACCTCTCTCAGCAAAGCCTCTGTCCTGGCTCCTATCCCTGTATCTACCTTTGTCCACCAGCTGAGCCTGTGGGGATCTGTAGGATGGCAGATGGGCACCAGGAAGGAGAGTGCTGGGAGAATGGGGATTCCTGGTCCCCACACAGGGTGCTCTCACCAGCTTGGCTTTGATCTCCAACCTTCTGGGGCTGTGCCCATCTTAGGAGTAGAGCTGAGTCTGGTCCCGCCATCCTTTCTAGGACAAGGCCCATGGAAGATGTGTGGCTGAGGGCTCCTGCAGCTCCAGAGCACCAGGGCTGCTCCAAGGCCCCTTTGGAGTGAACACAGCTCCTTGAGAGACCGGATCCCTGAGGTGGGGCCACAGACCATGGGTGGGACCAGGGCTGTATGTTCCAGTGATGGCATATGTCCCCACCTGCCTGAGTGCATTCTCCCACTCAACACATTCACGAGGGGTCCGTTGCTCTTGGAAGCTGCAGTGGTGGACCTGGAAGCATTGCAAAGCTTGCATTTGGTGCGTGGCCCCAGCTGCACCCCAGTTCCCTACTGGGACAAGCTCCAGGATGGATGCAGATCTGGGGCACTCCCATTTATCCCTTCTTTTGGCAGCCCAGGAGACCCTGCCATGCACCGTGACTAGTTGCTGCTGGTTCAGCTCAGTCCCATCAAGGTCTGTCCTTCATTGCCCTTGTGCTCACATGTACCAGGGATGTACCTGGCTGGACTTGCCCCAGGCTGGTGGCAACAGGTTTGCCAGAGGGCTGGTCCTGCCAAAGAGACCCAGATGCCTGGGAACAGAGACAGAAACATCAGCTCAGACAATCCTGCTGCCTGGGATGAGAGGATGGAGTCACCGCAAGCCAAAGGAAATCACAGCTCTCTCCCAGCTGGGAAATTATTACCTGTCCTTCTGGCGTGAGAGGCCAGATATTGCCACGTAACCTCCGGAACTAATTCTTTACTACAGAAGGATCAGGAAAAGTAAACTGAAATGTCGCTCAGCCTGCGTTTAGTTGGCTCTGGGTGCACACAGCTACTGCACAGTGCCGCACGTCCAGGGGGGAGCAGGGCTAGTCGGTGCCTCGCCGTCCCAAGTGAGGGGTCGGTGGCCTGGCCCAGCCACAGTGCAGTCAGTCAGCAGGGGATTTCCAGGCCTGGGAAGGTAGTGGACACTCATTCACCCCACTTCCAGTGAAGCTGCGTGAGTCCAAAGGTAATGTTGTGTGGAGGTGGGAATGCAGGAGAGGTGGCACCCTCAGGCTCCAGGAATCCACCCCACCAGCACACAAGCCACTGCAAAGGAGATTGCCATGGGACTGGCCTGGAGGGCTGAGCCCCAGCCAGCAGCAGGGTATGGGCACACAGCTCAGTGCAAGCTGCAGATAGATGTGACCTGAGACAGCACCCAAGGACTGCTGCACCTCTGATTTCACTGGTGGTACTTCAGTGCACACAGAGTTCACAGAGTCCCTCTGGCTGCAGGAAAAGGTGCTCTGGGAAGGTGGAATGCAATGAGAGCTCCCCAGCACGCATTCCCCTTCTGGCATTGCTGTGTTTGACTCAAGATAAGGCAGCTGGGAACTGAATCCTTCCATCCAGATCGACCTTGTGATAGCCCTGGCAGCCTCTTATCAGGGAGCTGAATCAGCAGGAAGCAGCTTCACTGAGAGAGCAGGTCCCAGTGTCCACCAGCCCTCCTGGTCCCAGGTCAGGTGTGCCGGGGCTCTCTGGCTGTGCTGTGACACCCTCTCTGCACTGCTGAGCCTCCAACGCCTGCCCGGAGCAATGGGAGGCTGCTGGCACAGCTGGGGGCTGTGAGGACCTGAGTCCTCCCCACTGCCCTGGCTCTCCTCCGGGTCCCTGTGTCTGCAGGGATCCCCAGCCCAGGAGCAGCTCAAAGCTGGGTCACACACGGGGAAGGGATGACCGCAGTCCCGGCTGGGCCATGACAATGTCTTGGCCCTCTTGGCCTCTCCTGTCTCCCCTGACAAACTCAGCGAACATTGCTGAAACCCCCCTGGCAGGGCCATTCTCCTCCTCCGATGTGATTTTCCTTCTCATTGTAATAAAACTTATTATCAAGGCACCTACCACTCAGTGAGTGATTTCAGGGCATTGGATACTGGAAATATCACACTCACCTCTTATAAACTTTGTAGAGACTTGTAATGGAAATACTAAGACTGGCAAGAGCAAACAGAACAGAAATGTGTAAGTGTGTGTAAGATCACAAAGAAGCAGGGGGACAAGGGTTAAAAGGAGAGGTGTGTGCTAATTGCTGCAGGGCTCGTATGTGTGATTTCATTCAAATGAGGAGGAGGAACTAATTGGCTGAAAATAAGGTGTCTGGAAGATGCCAACTGAGCCGTAAATACACCTGTAAGACAAACAAGAGAAATGATATTCAGGACTTTTGCTTAAGGCCATGAGGTCTGAGATAAAATAACATAACAGGGAGAAGATTTTCAAGCAGTATCCATTTCAAAGGATATAAAAGGCAAGTCCAAGCTGGATTTCCCCAAGGCAGTGGAGGAGCCCAGAGCCACAGCAAGGGCTCAAAACCCAGCTTGGAGCGATCCCACCTGGGCACACACGTCTGGGTGCTGCTGGATGCACAGGTCTGGGAGTGCCAGCAGGTGAGCTGACCTTACTTACATCTTGAAAAATAAAATCACCTTCCCCTTCTATAATATCTCACAGTGAGGGTTTGTTGTTTTTTTTTGTTTGGTTGGTTGGTTGTTTTTTTTTTTTTTTGTAATTTCCCATGCTCTCCTCTGTTTGGTACAGTATTTCTTTTGCTCCTCCTGGACCTGATCCTTCCCAGTAGTGGTGAGCTGAGCAGGAGTGTGTGCAGGTCCTGGAGGACTATTGTGATCCCATCATGGCTGTGCCAGGCTGCTGGGCAGCCAACCCCTCTTTCCTCCAGCCTCCCTCCCTATTTTATCCAAATATTGTTTTTCCCAGGGAAAGATCTGATTATCTACCGGGATTTCCAAGTTACACAGCTTGAGATAGTGTCAGCCTGGGGACAGCTTTCGGAGCTGATCTTGCAGCTCTCACTGACTAGTGCTATTCCCGGCTGACGATGTCCAACTACCTTTCTCCTGCGTTTGTGTTTGCAGGAGCCTTCACCACAATGTTTGCTAACAAGAAGCACTTCACCAATGCCATTGTTGGGGCGCTGGTCGCACTCTCCATCATAGCCCTTGTCCTCAAGCTGATGAAGATTGAAGATGTCACCCTGCCACCCACAGTCAAGGTGAGGCCAAAAATAGGTCCCCGAGCACCACTGCAGAGACCACTCACTTTGGGCAGGTGTTCAGAGACAACAGCTTACCTTCCTGGTTAAGACGTGAAGGGGGGTCAGTAGAAACTGCCTTATAGTAGCCGGGTGGGTGTTTTCTTCCCATCTCAAGATGCAGGCAGGAGAAATACAGCCCAGCCACCTTGAAGTCAGGGAGGGGGGAAGCCTCCTCTGAAACTATTCAGCACGGTATGAGCTCGATGTGTTTTGAGGAGATTACCTTGGGGAAGATGGGTAGGGCAGAGCCCTCCTCTGCTCCCTCTGCCCTCCCAGGGCACTGCACCGCAGGGCAATGCACCTCCCCATGGCCACTGTTCCTGCCAGCTCCCGCCAGCCTGTCCTAACAGCACAAGCGTTGTGGCTCCTCCCTGTCCCTCCCCTGCAGCTTGGCATCCCACCCTGGCTGCTGGAGGAGGGTTGGCACGGTTTCGGGGTGAGGTAGAGGGCTTTACAGGGGAGAGGCACACGGTTGGGTGCTCCTGGACTGGGACTGGTGTGGCCCTGCCAGCCTCTGCCCAGGCTGGGTGCAGCAATGGGGTAGCAGAGAGCACTGGAGATGGGAGAGCTTCTGTCCCCAAGGTGTGGCCAGTGTAGACACAAAAGGTATGTAACCAAAAAAAGAAAATAAAAAAACATGAGGAAACAACCAAGACAGTGTTTGTGTCAGCTGACATTGCTGCACAGGTCTCGGGAGAGGGAATGAAGAAGTCCCCGAGTTGCCATGAGAAATGCCCATGCTGAGGCCACGCACTCTCACCGCCCTGCTCTGCCATGGCACAGATACCTGTGCCTTAGAGAGATGTTTTTTGGGACATCCTCTGGCCTCACCACCCTGACAGAGCCATGCTGGGGTCAGGGGCGTGCTGCTGCTGCTCCTGCCAGTGTGATATCTTGGTTTTTCCTTCCAGTATGGGATGGTGTTTGATGCCGGCTCATCCCACACCTCTCTGTTTGTCTATGAGTGGGATTCAGACAAGGAGAACAACACCGGTGTGGTCATCCAGAACTTGTCCTGTGATGTCCAGGGTCAGTATCCCCCTGCCATGGGCTCAGTGCTGCCCTGCGTGTTCATGTGGTGGGTGGGATGGCCTGGCTCTTCCTCTTGTTGTCCTGCCCATGCTGGGCAGATCTGTGCATTGGGCTGTCACTGCTGGCACAGTGGGGAGCTCTGGCTGCAGGCAGGGTGATCCTCATGGTTGGAGGGCCCTCAGCACCATGTAGTGCCCACACACTTGTTGGGACTGAAGCATCTTGGTATTGCTCTGGATTTTCATTCCTCCACTTTGGACTGCCCCCATCTGCCCAGGCTGCTGTCCTGGCTGGGGAAGGTCTCACCCGTTGAGATGGGGACTCTGCTGAAAGCATGGGAGATGTGGAACGTAAGCATGGGTCAGTCAGTTGTCAGTGGACCAGGGGACCCTGGAAAAGCACCCTTTGTTGCTAAGAGGTGACAGACCTCACTGCCCTGTGCCCCCTTGCTCCCACATCCCTGTCCCCAGCCGTTCCCATCAGCCTGTCTCAGCCTGGCTCTCTTCCAGGGCAAGGCATATCAAGCTATGCCAACAATCCCCCAAAAGCTGGCGATTCCCTGAGGGAGTGCCTGGATAAAGCCCTGAAGGTTGTTCCTGCCGGAAAACAAAAGGATATCCCAGCTTATCTTGGAGCAACAGCAGGCATGAGGCTACTGAGGTATTGTTGTGGGATGGGGGGTGATGGAGCAGTGACTGAGCTGCAAGCAGCCACTGCCAGAACACAGTGTCCTGCTTGGGGCCAGGCTACCAGGAGCTCCCAGCTCTCATGCTGCCATGAACAAGTGACTGAGGAGTGGGAAGAAGGCAGCCCCGTGGGGACATATGGGTGGCTGAGCTGTCCTGAGTGATTGGCCCTGGGGCAGAGAGGCTGCTCAGAAGTGTCTGTTGCCATCCTGAGACTCCATGTCCCAGGATGGTGCTGCATGTTCAGTTCCGAGCAAAAAATGCTCCTCAGAGCTCTTTGCTCTTCGTTATTCCTTAAACAGCAGAGAACTGAGATGTCACCAGGAGATGTGCCGTCTGCTTAGATGGATGGGTGCTGGTGGGGGAGCAGGGCAGAGGTAGGAGGCAACTAGGTGCTACAGGACCTGCCCTTGCCTTTCATCAGCCCCTATTAGCTCTCTTCAAATGTCAACCTTCATTTCATGGTTCTTGGTTTTATGGTTGCAAATATATAACATTATTTCTGTGCCCTGGTAATCAGACCCCTGCTTTGGGAAGGAGCCAAGTCATAGCCTGAAGGCTACTCACTTCAGAGGGTGAGCACATGCTGGCAGCCCTGAGACATCTTCCCCACTCAGAGGTCTGAAACCGGGCTGGAACCTTCTAAAAAGACCCACTTGGTCTCAGCAACCAGCCCTGGCTTTAGTGCAGTCAGTGTGTGATGTTCAAAATTGAGTTTTGCAGCACAATCCCCTCTGGCCTACAGCACTTTGAAGATAGTTATGTAGGGAAGGGTGGCCTGGCAATCCTCTATGTGACTGGGATCAAGCTCCTAGATTTGCGATGCCAAGTCTAGACAGCTGGGATTTATGCTGTATGAGCAGCTTTGACAAGCTACATAGCAGGAAACATTTAACACAAACTGGTTGTTGCAAAAAAAAAAAAAAAAAGGAGTATGTGGAACTGGGACAAAACCAGATGGTTTCCTTGTGTTTCTGCTGTAGTATTGATGTATCTGGGTATGTGTCCTGACCTCTGAGTCCTTCTTAGGGAACAGAACAGCTCAGCAGCAGATCAAGTCCTGGCCGAAGTTACTAAGACCATGCGAGAGTACCCCGTGGCTTTCAAAGGGGCTCAGATCCTTACAGGAGAGGAGGAGGGGGCCTATGGCTGGATCACCATTAACTATCTGCTGGAGTCCTTCACTAAGGTGGGAGAAGGGTGAAATACCCACTCTTTCTTTGCTAATACAGCTTTTCTGATTTTTCTTGAGCTTGTTTAGCTCAGACAGAAATGTCAGGGTTAACGGTTTTCAGAAATGATCTAGGGGAAGCAGCCAGTTAACCTCTGGCCTGCCTACAGTGGAAGAGGAGGGAGAACTCAGGAATGGGGGTGTTTCTCTTAAGAGGTAAGGACACATCTCTGCACCATGAGGACACAGGGTCTCCTGGGGACAGTGAGGTCAACCATGCAGCCCAGTGGGGACCATTTGCTCCTACTGGGCTTTGTCTTGATGCCCTGGGAAGGTCTATCTCTGTGTGGCACTGGGTGACTCCAGTTTTGGTTCGATGTGCCAGTCTGAAGGAAGCTCCAACTCTTTCTTGTCACCCTCTGTCCCAGCACTGGCACAGCTGAGAGTGGCGCTGGCACCACTGGGATCCTCTGCGGGCTGCGGGAGGATTTCTGTCCTTCCCCTTGCACCAGCACCTCTGCAGCCCAGCCTGCTCTTTGGGAAGGGCAGCCCCTCCAAGCCAGGTGCCCACCAGCACTTTGGTCTGGGGACCAGTGACTCAGAACCACATGAGCCCACAGAAAGTTGGCACATCTTGACAATCAGACAGTTCAATCTCTGTTTTTTCTGGCTCTAATAAATGGCCAGGCTGGTTGGGCGGGGAAGACAGTGGGGCCTCACCTACAGAAATAATTGAATTGAACATCCATTGAATTTACTAACAAAACCCTATTGATTTCAATGAGTTGAGAATTTTGCTCAGGGCAAGTATACCCAACCTTGTACTACTCTTCCTCTCCTGTCTTGCCTTGGCAGTACTCTCCCAAAACACACACATGGGTTCGTCCAGAGGCAGCCACCATTTTTGGAGCACTGGATCTTGGAGGAGCATCCACTCAAATCAGCTTTATGCCCGAAGGTTCAGTGATAAATTGGAATGAGACCTCCAAGTTCACACTGTATGGGTATAACTACAACATCTACACACACAGCTACCTCTGCTATGGGCAGAATGAGATGCTGAAGCGACTGGCAAAGGAATTAATTGCGGTGAGAGGGGAACTGGGAGGTAATTGGACTCTGGTCTCATGTTATCAACCACAGACTTGTTAATGCATAAAATAAGAACAAGCAATGCTTTTCCAAAGAGACACCAGCAGTGACCAAGAGCAGGTACAGACTCGTTGGAGCACAGGTAGGCAGATGTGGAGAGGAGCATGGGAAGCATCAGAAGGGGTGGCTCGGGAGAGATCTTCTGCAGGTACACAGCTGCCTCACACAAAGTGTGGAAAAGGCAGGACCAGGCTCTTCTCAGAGGTGCAAAGTGACAGGACAAGAGGCAATGGGCACAAGCTGGAACATGCAAGTTTCCAACCAGGTGTGGGGGGAAAAGTTTTTCCCAATAAGAATGGTCAAATATCATAATAGAACCCAGAAATGCTGTGGAGTCACTATTCTTTGAGATATTCAGAATTTGATGGGACAAGGCTTTGAGCAACCCAATCTAGCGGATCATGCTTTAAGGAGGGGGTTGGCACAGAGACCCTATAGTTCCCCCTGAACCTCAAACACTCTGTGACTGCACAGACCTGAGAAAAGAGAACCAGAGTTCTTTCTCAGGCCACTATTTGGAAGCTCAGAGGGGAAGAGGGTCTTCATGGAGCTGCACCTTGCCAGGAGAAGCAGCCATGGTAAGCCAGAAGGGTTTGCTCAGGCTGCATGGCCGGGAAGGTCCCAGGTGGTGTCCCTGGCTGAGGCTGGAGCTAGAGACAGAGCTAGAGCTGGGATGAAGAGGGCTTTGCATGCCCCAAATCACGATCCTGCTGGCCAGGGGAGAGACATGCTGGGTCTCTGAAACTGATTTTCCTCCATGGCAGAAGGAATGAGACAAAGCAGAGCGAGAATTAGTGTTGAGCTCAGGCTGCGAGTGCAGACAGACAACAAGTCCAGGATTAAACAGCAGGAGGGTCTTTCTCTGCTGAGGAGGTGGGAGATGCCTGCGCCCGTGGCACTGGGGGGGGTGCTGGGTGACTCCTGCCACCCGGCATGCCAGCCAAGAGGCTTTGGAAGAGGCTGCAGCCTGTGATTTTGCTGTTCCCAGGAGTCACCCTCCAGCATGCACGTCCATCACCCTTGCTACCCAAAAGACTACAATGAAACCATCTCGCTGTCTTCCTTCCGCTTCAGCCCCTGCACGAACCGCAGTGACCCACGCCTGACCCTCCATGACAGGAACGTGACCCTGGAGGGCAGGGGCAATGCCAGCGGGTGCCTGGCTGCCATCAAGAAGCTGTTCAACTTCTCAGCGTGTGGTCAGAGCCAGGACTGCACCTTTGACGGCGTCTACCAGCCCCCGGTCAGGGGAAAGTTCATTGTAAGGCAAATCCTGTGCTCCCTCCTCCGAAGCAGAGCATGTCTCCAGGTGCTGTGGTGTCCCGGTGTGCCCCATGGCACTGTCACCTCCCTGGAGCAGAAAGGGGGCAAGAAGCTCCCAAATTACCACTGTCCCAAGGCTCACCAGGGATTGCTGCCGTCTGGTTTTCCAGCCAGCTCTCCAAATGGGACCACGTTAATAAAACAGGTGCTTAATCAGAACCCAAGTTTTCGGTAAAAAAACCCAGCCAGCAGCCTTCAGGCAAGGCTCTGCTGGCACTCGGTGTGCTGTTGTAGCCAGCAGGCACCTACACCCCAGCCCATCATCTCTGCTGGGACATGGACAGTGGTGCCCTGAGACAATACAAAGGTGGGACAAACCTGGTGAAGGACAAACCCCACCTCCTGCTTGAAGGGAGATGGGGCGGGGGGGAGGTGGGAAGCAGCTGTCTGGGGGGTTTTCCCCACTGTAGCTCAACGACATTTCTGTCTCTTGCCTTTCAGGCCTTCTCTGCCTTTTACTATAACTTCAGGTTTCTCAACCTGACCAAGGGGCAATCGCTGGCCACTGTCAGGGAGACCATCAACCATTTCTGCACAAGAAGCTGGGAAGACGTACGTTCCCCATGATGGGAGGCTGTGGAGAAGCTTCAGAAGCAAAGGGGTCCTGGGGTGGGGAAGAGGAGTGGGGACCCTTCCAGGGCAAGGCTCCCTGGTTGCTGAGTGCCCTACACAGCAGAGCCATCCCTGAGCTCTGTGCAGGACCCTGGACCATCCTGCACCGACCCTTTGGAGCCCTCCTTGCTCATGTAACATTGGGAAAGAGGCAGCCAGGGTAAATGAAGGCAGCAAAATCTCCTTTGCAGCACAGGAGCTGGGGGTGGAGGTGGGTCTGTAGCACGGGAGGATGGTGAGAGGAGAGCCAGCTGCTGGCGCCAGTCTGGACATGAGTTGAATGGAGATGGATAAGGCCAAGAGATGTGCCAGGACCACCATGGGGCCAGAAATCAGGAGTTGTTTGTACAAGGAAGCTGAGATAGGAGAATATGGGGCCGGAGGAACTCCAATATGTCTCTATTTCCATGTGGAGTGTAAATTCTCCTCAAAGGAGTTGCCCTCTGTGGACAGGTCCAAAATACCTGCCTGGTCCAGGAGTATTTTTCTGGGTGCTGGTGACTGTGGAGTCATGGCCCCTTGTGCAGCAGCTGTCAGGGCATTTTCCCTGCATGGAAATTGCCTGCATATAACTCCCCTCCCTCCCCAAACATGTCCCCACCCCAGCTGTCTTCTAGCTACCCTGAAGAGAATCCTGAGCGACTGCCTAAATACTGTGCCAGTGCCAACTACATCCTCACACTCCTCCTCGACACCTACAAGTTCAATGAGACCAGCTGGAACAACATCTTCTTCCAGATGAAGGTAGGCAGCAAACCCAGCCTGCGGGCAGGAGTAGAGGCAGTGCTGGGGAAAAGAGCCACGTTCCTGTGTCGGGGTGCGGTGAGAGCCACTGCCCAGGAAGCCCTGCCTGCCCCACATCCCAGTGTGGCACCGGGTGTGGGGCCAGCTCCAGCCCATTTGGGCCGTACAGGAGTGGGTGGCACTGTGTCACCAGTGTGGCTTTCCTGCAGGGCTAACCCATCCTCCCCTTTCTCTTCGGGCAGGTGGGGAGCGCCGATGTCGGCTGGACACTGGGCTACATGCTGAACCTCACCAACATGATCCCGGCAGAAGCTCCAGCATGGGTGAAGGGGCAAGTTCCTTCCCTGTGGGCTGCAGCTGTTGCCTTCATCATCCTCACCCTTGCCTTGGGACTTGCTGCCCTGCTCCTGCTCTTGTGGGTGTAGGAGCCCGGCTGCAGTTCAGAGCACGGCAGGAGCACCTGGGGCTGGAGGGATCTCTGTGCTTCTGCCAGCAGGACTGGCAGCCTGGGGCTGCTTCAGCGCTGCTGAGCACATGATCCTCTACAGCACTAAAGAACTGAAGTCTGGCCTCCCATGGTGTCCTGGGTTGAGTGAGTGGTGGAGTCTTTTGGTGGCAGGGGAGGGGACTATCAGGGCGGCCCCCTGTGAGAAGCTTCTCGAAACTCCCCCAGCTCCAAGCCAGCTCCACTTCTGTTTGGGAAATTGAGCCAATTGGCTGCGCCTCTGCGATAACGTATTTAAGAAGGGACGTGGTGAGGGGCAGTGGGACTGGTGAGGAGGAGTTGCTGCAGCTGCGTGAACACCAAGGTCAGTGGGGGAACGGAGGAAGAAAGGAGGGGGGAGGTGTGCCGGAGCAGAGACCCTCCTGTATCCTGTGGTGAGACGGCAGGGCGGCCCCCCCCTGCCACCCATGAAGATCTACGGTGGAGCAGACATTGATTTACAGCCTGTTGTTCCTGCTCTGATGATCAAGGTTCTGTGCCCAAAGAAGGCCGGGGTCTCATGGGAAAAGGCAGCCCCGCTGCTGTAATTCAGTGCTGGGAGGATTGCAGCATGTGGGGGTGTCCCACGCCGGAGCAGCTCGGGAAGGGCTGCAGCCGTGGGAGGGAATCCAGTCGGAGGAAGTTAGTGACCCACGATGGAGCAGTGTGGGGAACGCTGTGGCCCATGGGAGGAATTCAAGTCAGAGAAAGTTTGTGGAAGACTGTCTCCTGTGAGAGGGGGACCATGATGGAGCAGGAGGAACAAGTTCCGGACACTCCCCTCACCGAAGATGAAGGAAGTGGCAGCACTGACTGCACCCCCCATTCCCTGCCCCTGCGCCACTGGGGGAGGAGGTAGAGATATCGGGAGCAGAGCTGAGCCCGGGAAGAAGGGAGGGGTGGGGGGAAGGTGTTCTCAAGATGTGGCAATGCTTCTCACTGTCTTACTCTGTTATGTGTTGTTAGTGTCTGTAATAAAGGTATGTTCTTTTTTTTTCTTCCCCTAACGAGTCTGCCTTTTGCTCGTGATCATAAAAGGGGGATTTTTCCCCAACCCAGACCTATCTTGAACCCCAAGCCTGGCTCTCTGTCCCTTCTCATTGCCGGAGGGGAAGGGAGAGAGAGGTGCTGCATTGTGGTTGGCTGTCAATCAGGCCTAAACCACGACACATGGGAATGTCCCCAACATGCAGATAGGCACCACGTGAGGTTTTCAGAGGAGCTCTGCTCCTGTGGAGACCTGCTGGAATCAGTCTTCGCATCACAGGAACCCCAGTCATGCCTATCTGCCACCTCACACTGCTGTGCCTCCATCCCACCAGCGGACACATGAGGCCATGGAGAGCCAGACTGGCCATGGAAGAGCTCCCAGAGTGCCAAACTGTTGGTGCATGGCTGCAGGCACTTGGTGACAAGGTGCTTCGTGCAATGCTGGGCCTGACCACAGTTGCCAACAGCCGTGAAGGTCCCTGCCAGGTCTGCCAGCATCAGGGCATGCAAGGCTCTGTGGTACCCCAGCTGCCTCTCCCGAGGGTGTATCATTTGGGCTTATCTGGTGGTCTTGGAGACAGAAGGGAAATTGAGCATCTGAAGTCAGAAGTATGGTCCATGCCTCCTCAGAGGGTCCTTCTCATCTCATCATCATCTCATCTCATCATCTCATCTCATCATCTCATCTCATCATCATCTCATCTTCCTTTTCTTCTGGGATAAAGGGATTGATCTTCCTGAGTGTCTTCCTGGAGACAACATTGTCCCACCAGCAGAAGGCCTGGACACTGTGGGTGTCAGTCTGAGACTCCAGCAAGCTGCAGTCCTGCCCTGATCCTGTGAACACACCTGAGCTGGGTCCTGCCCATGACTGCACCCTTGCCTTTGTCTTTGGTTCTCATTTGTTATGTGCCCTGTGGATAATTCACCTTGTTGTTTGCCTTCTGGCAGAAATGAGTTGACCTTTGGTGTCTCTGCGGAAAGGCAGACATCTGACAGCTCTCATCATCCAAATAAACATTGTAAAGGGCAGTGAATGAGGAAATGCCTGTTACTTTGCTCCTGAACAGTTATGATTTTATTGTTTCTGTCTCCCAGGCAAGGGCTGGTGATGATGGGGACTCAAGGGAGAGTCAACATTGCTCAGTGCTGCAGGAGATGTCCCTGGAAACCTTGAAATGTCTGCAACACCCTGGAGAGGAGCCAGCAGGGCACGAGGACAGGCTTTTTCCTTCTGAGAGCTGAGCTGTTCTCACACCACCTATCCACTGGCCACCAGTGGAACTCCCCAAAAATGTAAGGGGGACCCCAGGAGCTGTCCTGACATGTCCCAGCAGTGTTCCCAAATCACCCTGTGTGCTGGAAAGGGAGGGTGAAATGTCTGCCAGGCACAGACACAGGGTGCAGGTGGACCAGGGAGGAACCTTGTGCAGGAGGGCAAGGGGATGCTGCCATCCCCCACCCCACAGGGCCTCCCAGTCCTGGACAGAGCCTGAGTCCTGCCTGCAGGGCCAGCTTCCCCCCATAGCCCCATTACCACAGCCTCTCTGGCTGGCATAGAATAGAATAGAATAGAATAGAATAGAATAGAATAGAATAGAATAGAATAGAATAGAATAGAATAGAATAGAATAGAATAGAATAGAATAGAATAGAATAGAATAGAATAGAATAGAATAGAATAGAATAGAATAGAATATTTTCAGTTGGAAAGGACCTACAATGATCATCTAGTCCAATTGCCCGGACACTTCAGCACTGACCAAAAGTTAAAGCCTGTTATTAAGGGCATCATCAAGATGCCTCTTAAATGCTTACAGACTGGGGACATCAACCACCTCTCTAGGATTCCTGTTCCAGTGTTTGACCACCCTCAGTGGCCACGGGCGATGCAGGCTCTTGTCCTGGGATGGGGCAGGACACATCTGCCCCACATGTGGTATCTGCTGCAGGCTGTAGCCAGCCCTGTGATGATCCTGTTGCTTTCAGACACCCCTTCTCTCTCCACTGACCCACTGCTCCCATAATCTCCAGCCACCCACATCACTGTGGTCCCCACACACACACAGCACTGAGACCCAGCTGCACATGTCCATGTCCTCCCTCCTAGGCTATCTCCAACCAGCAGTGAGGGGAAAGGAAAGCCAGACAGCACACAGCTACAGGGAGGATTTTTTAAAGACTGGGCTGGCTCCAGCTCACCAGGCCAGGACACAGATACCCCACATTACAACTTCACAGCTCCTGGACATGTGGGGGCAATTCCTGGGTCTGTAATTCCTCGCACAAATGTGGCAGCAGGTCTAAGTGGCTTTGTCAGCCTCTGGAGCCAGTGCTGCTAGAGACTCTCATAACTAGAGGAGTTTTTCTGGCAGCATATGACTATGAGCAGGCAGGAGATGAGGATGAGCATGATGGCCAGTAAAACTGTGGCTGCTATCCAGTTGCTTCTCTGGAATCCTATGACTCTCTGGGGATTCTCCGAGGGAATCATGTTGGTGAGATTGAGCATATAGCCCAGAGTCCAGCCCACGTCTACGTTATTAACCTGTGCAGACAGAGAAGGAAGAGGGATGTGAAAGGCTGCAAAGTACCATGCAAGCCAGAGAACTAGAGAAGACCTTTGTTGTTGCACTCCCAGGTCCTGCTCCACAGGCACTGTATCTGTGCACACCTTGGGCTGCAGATACCCCATTAGTGAGACAAACTCAGGGAGAGCATAAATGGCCCAGGCCTGATGTCCTGGCAGGTGCCTGTGAGTAACTCAGCAGCTCTCCTGGGCACAGGCGATGGACTGTGCTGCTCTGTTATTCCCTGCTCCCCAACCAGTCAGGGCAGGGGCAGCAACAGGGTGGGCACGAGCCATTTCATAACACAAAGTGTGGAAGCTGGAGACTGCCAGGCACTTTCTTACCTGCCTGACAAAGTGGATGTTAAGCCATGTTGTGTGGTTGAATCTGTAGCCTTGCAGGAGAAGCGTGAGGGCATAGGAGCTGGCTGCACAGGCATCCCGGAGGTGGGTCCTGTTCATGGCAGGGAACTCCTTCTGCATCTGTGGAGATGGAAGAGTGGAGGGGGACTGCCAGGACAGAGCCGTGCTCAGTGCACCTACACTGCAGGGAGGAGCCCCACGGTGCGTCTGGGAGCAACGACCCCGGAGTGTCTGCGCTTGGGGAGCAGGGAGGACCCGGGAGGCTGCAGGCCACTCTCCCAACTCTCTCCCTGTGCTTTGTGCTCCTCCCAGATCCCTCCAGTTGACATCTGCACAGCAGCGGGTGGGCTGCAGGTGAGCCCTCAGGCCGCCCAGCACCCAGGCGAAATGTGGGCTGGTGCTGGCATCTCCTAGGCAGGTTCTCACCTTCTCCCACTTGCTGGTGCAGAATTGCCTGATGGTGTCGTTGACCACGCTCAGGGTCTGCCCTCCAGTCAGGTTCAGAAAGTGAAGGTCGTGATAAAGCCCTGAAAAGGCCTGTGGGTGTTGAAGAGCAAAGGCAGCAGGTCAATGATGCACCCAGGACACTGCCACCCTCCTGCCCCTCCCTCAAGTGCTCTGCAGGGTTCCTAAGGCCACATCTCAGCAGCACAGGATGATGCTTGTCGACCTGCTGGGAGGGAGCCCAGGGACTGCTTGCCACACCAAGAGATTGCTGCTGTGACAACAGAGGTCTGAGTCTGCCTGGCACGCTGGTGAGCACCCTGCATGTCTCCATGCATCAGGCACATCCCAGCTTTCAGGGCTAGCACTATTCAGACTTCTCTCCTACAGCAGTGTTCCTGGGGTCATGGCCAGCCTCTGGTGATCCAAACCCCCCCAACCACTCCACCCCCAGCCATAGAGAGGGAGACTCCTTACAAAGAACTGTCCCCGCACGGGCGGCTGATAAACCCCGTTGAACCCACACGTCTTGTTGGCCTCACAGCTGAAGTTGAAGAGCTTCTGGACGGCGGTGCTGCACGCTGCTGGGTTGCCTGTCCCTGTCACCGTGAGGACCTGTGCAGGGCTGGGTGTGCTGGGTGCACGGACACAGGGACTGCTGTAGAGGTCTGCTGTGGTGACATTCTCCTGGTACCCCGTGGGGTAGCAAGGGTGTGATATCCGCTGGGCAGTTGGGCTGTGCTGGAGAGAGTGGGAGCCGTTAGTGGGGCTTGGTGCAGGATGCCAGTGACCCCACAGCCCACCCTGTGTTTAGACATTCCCCCAAAGCAGGATCTAGGCCCCAGGGGGATTTGAGTAGAAGCAGGATCCATCCTTTGCACGACTAACCTGCCCACGGCTTTTGCCGGTCCTGCTGTTGGCCCCAGCACTGAGCTGTGCTGGGGTGGTGATGCCACTACCAGCCTGTGCCCCCCCGCGGGGCTGGCACCCCGCTGCTGAGGGCAGGGCATGCCCTCTGCCTGCCCGGAGAGCTTGCTGCTCTTGGCATTTGCTCGGTCCCCACGGCATCTTGCAGGCCCCAGCCCAGAAGGGACCAAAGATGCATCGCCCCTGCATGCTCCTCGAGCATCTCTCTCTCCTGCAGCACTGGGCTGTGCGCTCTGTCCAGGGGGAGAGGGGAGGACACTGTTTTGTGGTGGGGTGGTGAGCAGGAGCTGTGTTGGGAATCCTCTCTCTGGGCAGAAATTGAGGAAGGGCAAGTGAATGGGGAAGGATGGGGCTGGGCTTGGGAAATGATGAAAAATGCCATTACATGTCAACATTTGGGGAGAAGGGAGCCCTGGGAGAGAACCACCACCACTTTCCTCCCAAATGAGAGAAATCTTTGGTTCAGTAGATGAAATCTAAGCCTCTCCCAGGTTTTCAAATTCATGAAAATTCCCAACTGCCTAGCACTTTTCCCACAGGCACACCCAACATTTCCGGAAGACATTTCTCACGGCAATGGGAAATGTTTGATTAGATCCTGGTGGCCAGTGGCTGTGGTACCTGGTGGAGAGCTGCCAGCAGCATCTTCAAGGCCTGTGTCTGCCCATAGCAGAGGTAGCTGTGGGTGTAGAGCCAGTAGTTGCTGCCGTACAGCCTGTAGAAGACGGATGTGCTCTTGTCCTCAATGGAGACTCCAGGCTGGAAGGTTATTTGTGTCGAGGCACCTCCAAGGTCCAGAGCTCCAATAACCTCAGTGTCGGGTGGATGTTCCCATTTCTCTGCAAAGGAATACTGGCCCGGTATAACAGCAAGTGTTAGTCTGAACCGGAGGGAGTCACAGTCCCTGTCCCTTCCCTCAACGTTTTGTGGGCTCAGAAACTGCTGAGGGACCTTCCACATCTTATCTCCCTGTTTAACCCCTTCCTGCCTATGTCCTCCCCAGCCACATACACCTCCATGTAGCACTGAGGTCTGTCCCCTTGGATGCTGCGCATCAGCTGGGGTGCACAGATTTTGAGGAGCGAAATAGTAACACTGTCACCCGGGGTTTGGTTTTGTGATACCAAAATCAACCCATACGAAAGTGGAGAGTGCAGGGCCAGGCTGAGCTGGTCACAAAGACCCTTGATGCTGTTAATCGCATCAGCGGAGTTGAAGCTGCAGTTCACAACCACAGACTACATTTCTTTGGGTGACTAGTGCCCTAAAGGTACATTTTTCTCTTCTCTGGGAATATAGAAACCTAGCTGTAGCTCAGACAGGCACATAGACCCTGCTCACCCCTCTTCTTCCCTCCCCCCGAGCTCGCACCTTGACTAGTGTCTCCAGCAGGTAGTTGATGGTGATCCAGCCGAAGGAGCCTTCCTCGTTCCCCGTGAGGATCTGAGCCCCGCGGAAGTCCACGGGGTACTCGCCAATGGCCTTGGCGACCTCGGCAAAGACCCGCTCAGCCTTGCTGCTGTTCTGCTCCCTGCCCAGCGAAGGAGATAAATACTGTGCAGTGGAGGAGGCGATGGCTGGGGAGCTTTCAGAGCAGCGCTAACAGCACGAGGCTGCTGCCTTCTGCAAAGCATCGGGGCCGCTCGGTGACAGGGCAAAGCTGCCAAATCCCTCGGCCGGTGCCCCGGGAGTGTCCCTGACAGTGCTGCCCGCGGGCTCTGCCTGAGCAGGCGGGAAGGTCAGTGCAAGTCTGGCAAAGGAGGCTCACCCACCTCTGGGGCTGCTGCCAGGCTGGCGCCGGGGGTGGGCAGGGGGCTCCCCCGTGGGCACGGCGAGCGGCTCTCTGGGACACCCCAGTGGACTGCAGGCACGGATGCTCTGCCCATCACCGTGGCCGGCGTGGGCAGCAGCTGCCCCATAGCCCCAGCCCCCCGTCCCAGCCCCCTGCGCCGGCTGCGATGCAGAAGCGCGTGGTGGGGAAGGGGTTGGGGGTGGTCGGCTGCGGGCGGTGCCGGTACCTCAGCAGCCGCATGCCCGCTGTGGCCCCCAGGTAGGTGGGGGTCTCCCGCTGCTGCTCTGCCGGGATGATCTTCATGGCCTTGTCCAGGCAGGGCTTCAGGCTGGCTCCAGCCCCAGCGGGGTCGTCTGCCTAGCTGGAGATGCCGGGTCCTGCAAGAGGGCACCCCGTGATGGAGCGAGCTCAGTGCTACCCGGGAGGGACAGGACAGCAGGGGACACGTCCAGTTGTTCCTCAGGCCCAGGGAGCTCTCTGGACCTCCATGGCAATACCCAGATGTCCCAGGCACAGCCCAAAACTCTGCCATGTTTGGTGCCATACAGATACCAAAATGAAAACTGCTGACCCAAAGAGCAGTTAGGAACCACATACAAAAAACCGTCAGAAACACAGTCATGTTTTGGTCCTTCTGCAGAGCTTTTAAGAGGCCCAGTGGGAACCTGAAGCCACACGTTATGTAAGAAGCTGTGAAGAGATGTTGTGGGAAGAAGAGCCAAGGAAGCGGTTGCATGGGAGAAGGAACAAACTCTGCGCATCCAGCATCCTAAGCTGTGAGATGATGCACAACCACCCACTTCCAGACTGGACTGGCTCCAGGAACTGTGATAACTGGGGGGCAAATTCCTTACCCACCTTTGGATCCCTCAATTACTGTAGGGCTCCCTAAAGTGCAAACTGTCCCTCCCTAACACCTTACTATGGTTCTTCCACCAGGCCGTCTCCCTTTGTCTCAGTGCAGGCTGAAAGACTGAAATCACTGACGATGCTTTGAGAGTGTGGGACAGTGATCCAGCAGGATGGGAGAGAGGGACGGGCAGGTCCCGGCACACTCACCAGACACAGTGCAGGCTTCCACCTGGGAGACGATGCCGGTGCCGTTCTCCTTGTCCGCGGGCCACCGGTAGATGTAGAGAGCTGTGTGTGTGGAGCCAGCGTCAAACACCAGACCGTACTGGGGGAGGCAGAGGGGACACAGGGTCACAGCATGCTCAGGGCTGCACTAAGTGCCACGGGGATTTCTGAGAGTTTCTGGCTCTAACTTCCTGTGCGTGAACGTGAGCAGCGCAGGTTTGCATGTCCAACCTCCCTTTAGCAGTCCCGCTCATCCTCTAACCCCCCTGATTTAGCCATTCAAGGGAGTTACAGCTCAGCTCAGAAAGGGAAGACATGCAGGTCAGCAGAGTGATTTGGAGAACATGGAGGCACCCAGGCATGGCCCAAAGGGCTAGGGCTGCCAAAGCTGCTCCCAGACCTTCAGGAGTGGCACATCTCACAAACCCTGACTAGTTTTTGACAGTCTGCAAAAGCCAGGAGAAAGCAACAGGAGAGAGATGTAAACTCACCGCATGCTCTGGAAGTCTGAAAACAGAGAAAAGAAAGTGTCTGGAGTAGAAAATGGAGCAGCCCCAGGAGGAAGACTGCTCTTCTCTCTCCCTTCCTTAAGAGGGAGCTAGGACTGTCGTTTAAGGTGGGGCGGAGGGGGAAGGGAAGGTGTTTGATCTTCCCAGTGCTATCTTGATTAGGTGAAGCCCAGAAAAGCTTGGCTGGTTATGGGAAGACTTGCAAGCAGAGAGGAAGGCAGGGCTGATGGAAGGACGAGAGGTGGGAGGAGGCTGGTGGTCATGCCCAGGCTCCCCCAGGTCCCGTCGGTCACCTACGTTGTTCCTCGCAGGAAGGGCAGCATCCTTCACCAGGGTCAGGACCAGGAGGAAGACGGACACTCCCAGCACTCCCAGCACAGCTGCCAAGCTGCAGCCCAGGGCCTTGAGCAGACGCGTCTGCATCCCCGCGCCACGCTGTGGGGAGGGATGGTCTTTGTAAGGGCAGCTCCAACCCGCCTGCCCCCTGCCCCGTCTCCCCAGCTCCTCCCGGGGTCCCTTCCTCCCAGCAGCTCAGGATCCCCTCAGCGACCCCCTGCGACATGGAGCAGCCGGGTGTGGAGACCATGAACCTGTCCCTTGGCTGGCAGCAGAGCAACGCTTGTCGCAGAGCGGGGCTGAACCCGGGTGCTCCCCACCAGCGGCTCCTGTCCCAGCGCAGGGGTGAAGCCTCCCTCCTGCCCTGCCCTGCCCTCAGGGAGGGGGTGGCTGTGGTCCCAAGCCATCCTCCACCGTACCTGTGCTGGGAGCACCACTCCTTCCGTGGGTGTAAGCGCACCGAGCCTGCTGCTCCTTCTGCCCACCCTGCCAGCCCTGCCTGCGCCCAGCCCAGCTGAGCAATGCAAAGCGAAAGTGAGGCCTGTTGCTGCTCTCGGATGTCCGGGTTGCTTCCCCGGCCGGCCCGGGGCGGGAGCTTGGCACAGCACGGGAGTGGGGACACAGCGGCAGCCGCTGCCCGCACCGCCCCGGGGGGACGGGGCCCTGGCCGTGGGGACGGGTCCCCACCTGCCAGGTCCCTCCTGCCTCTGCCTGCAGTGGGACAGTGTGGGGCATGGCAGAGCCGGGGGACAGCAGGCTTGGCCCCTGCGGTGTGTTTAGGCGGCAAGCCCGGGGCAGGGGTGTCTGTGGGGGTCCCAGACCTCAGCCGCTGCCCTCGCCGCCGGGCCTGCCTGCTTGCAGGCTCCCTGAGGGGCAGAGCTGCGGACTGGGCTTGTCACGGGGAGCTGCCCCCCTGCCGAACCCACACCAGGCAGTGCAGGCACCCACACCACCCTCCGTGGGCGGAGGTCCCCCAGGCAGACCCGCTCCTCCAGCAGCGAAGTGGTTAACGCCAGATGCTATTTCCAGCCCGGCTCTCCTGGCCAGGTTGCTGGTCCGGGGCCAAGGGGAGGGCCGGACCGGGGACTCGGGGTAGCCTTTGTCCCCGGAGCGGGGCTCCGCACTCCAGGTGCGCGCTGACACCCGGGCAAAGGCGGCGGTGCCAGGAGCAGCAGCCGGAGCTGCCGGGGTGAGCTGCGGGCAGGGGACCGGGGGGGGGGGTGCCCCTCGAGGGGAGCTGTGCTCGCAGGGGCGGTGGTGGGCTCAGCCCCAGGTGTGCCCTGGCCGGCGGCAGAGCGGGGTGCCGGGGACCAGCGCGCCCCGTGGGCTGGCGGGGCAGGAGGCAGAGGGCTGGTGCGGCCGCCCGCGGCACGAGGTGCCCACGGAGCGGGGGGCGGAAAGGCGGAGGGGACCGCTCTGCCTGGCAAAGATGCTCCCCGCGTGCATGCTCACCCTCTTCCTTGTCATTTTAAGAGCCCTTTTGACTTTCAAAACCCAAATGTGGGCGGTGGGTGAGCCAGCTTCCCATTTTCCTGAGAAATGGACAGTTTAGAACCAGCAGTGCCTCTCAGCCTTTCCTCCTGGGTGTTGAGGCCCCCCTCTGCCCTTCCCTGAGAGGGATGCTGCAAGGTGAGGGATGTCCTGCCAGTCTTTGCAGAGCACTTGAGTGTGTCCAGTTGTTCACAAACAAGTGCAACAACAGCCCAAGCACTGTGCACAGCTGTGAACTTTCCAAACCTTGAAATGGCCAGGCGTTGCTCCTTCTGGCACTGTGCAGCAATGTGCCTTTTTAGCTCTGGAGGCATCACCACCACCTTCCCATCCCTGCTGCTCAGCTGAACCTGCCACGTACGGCAGCAGGTACCAGTGCTGGCCAGCCCCGAGGTGTTACTGCAAGGCTGGGCAGATCGATCAGCTTCTCACACACTTCGCCTTGTTTTCCACCTGCCAGGCTTCCTCCCCATGCCCTGCTCTCCTCCCCAGGCATCACTGGCTCTGTGCTGCCTTCGGATGTTGCCTCCTGCCCAGTCAAAATAGAAATTAGTCCTTACCAGAGCAGGCGGAACCCATTTCTCACCCACTCCCGCATGCAGGATGATGCAGTTTATCACCATTTCATATTGTTCCATTGCATGGTAACTGGGAAAGAATTTTACAGGATATGGGCTGGGCTGTGTTACCTGAAGCAGGGTTATCACATCCCAGTGCCACAGTTACATCTGGACAAGCTCTAGCAGGGCTGGTAGGACTGGAGATGTGACAATAATGGGGTTCATCAGCTGCTTCCATGTGATTTCTTCTGGCCACAGCCACTGTACAAGGGAGGGGTCCTGGCAGCCGGATAAGGTCTGATAAGGGTTTCCTGTAGTCGTGTCCCATGACGCAGGCCAGAAGAGAACAGCTACTATCCATCATCATACATCTCATGTCACGCGGGAGATTGGTCATCCGTGTTTATCACAGGAGATGTGAGCTCCAAACAGGAACCAGCATCTCCTTTGACCTTGTCAAAAGTCTTTCATCTCCCGTTCAAGCCGCTGACCTGGCCTGGCAAAAGGGCAACATAATTTCGATGTGTTTATACACTCGCAGGAGAATTGAGTAGCCAAGTGACAGCACTCAGGTACCACCCCAAAGCACTGGTTGGGTTGAGCCATTTCTCTAGGCTGTGTCCAGCGCTCTGGGGGCATCTACCGCTCAGCTGGCATCTGGCTTGCAGCCTGACTCCCTGCAGGCATGCTGGCATGGAGCAGGGCGGTGCGGGAAGGGGAGGGAGAGCTGCGTGTTTAGAAAAGCACATCTGGACCAGCTGTGGGGTGCTGAGCACACAGACATGTTAGCTGCTGCGTGCTGAGGCTGTTGCAGAGGACCAGACCCTTTGGCTTTGCTTCTTGGCTGCAATTGCTTACTGATGCCTCACGGCTGATTCTGCCAGGAGCTGAGCTCCAGCCAGACAAGTGGTGGGATGCGGGACCCGCTCTGGTCCCCAAGGGCTCCTCCACACCCCTCTGGCCTTGCCTGCCTGTGCAATGCTATCACTGCTGGCGTGCCAGTTTGGCTACGGGGCTGTGTGTGCCCAGATCAGCAGGAGCTTTCTGCCTCTTGCCCTTCTGCCTGCCCTTGGGGCTGAAGGAGAGGCTCAGGGGTCACATGCAGGCAAAGACACTGTCCCTGAATGTCTGCTTACCTGTTGTGGCATCACCAAGAGCCAAGGAGAGCTGTACCAGGCAGGATGCACATGGCTGGAGATGCTGTTCCCCTGCCTGGAGGAGAGACAGACCTTCTCAGGGACAGTCTGGGACTGTTCAGCAACAGATGTGGCCTGATGGTCCCAAGTCTTGTGGGATGGGTTTTGTAAGGGTGAAGGGTATGATGGCAACATGCAGGTGCTAGAGGGATGTGGCTCCGCACCCCAGAGGGGTTGGTCACACTGGGAACCTGCCAGGGCATGGTCCTGCTCCCAGTTTGGTACTCCTGTTAGCTACTGTCGGGCTTCCCCCAGTGATGCTGCTGGGCAGCAAGGTGCTGACCTGCCACCCAGCTGGTAGTTTCAGCAGGTCAGAGGGATGGATTCCAGGCTGCATGCAGAGAGGGGCCTGAAGGGCTGCGGTTGAGAAGGCAAGGCTGAAAAAGCCATGCTGAAAATCACCCAGGGAGGAAGTGCTCAGAAGGAGAGGGTGTCCCAGCCCCACAACATCCAAGAGTGTCCCATAAAAGCAGCCATGCACTGCAGAATGGCTTCAAGCCCTTGTTAGGAAAGGGGAAAGTCCCATCTTGACAGGCCCCATATCCATCCATAAGATTGCATTTCAAAAATTGTCTTACAAATGCAGAGGTGTGATCTGGGGGTTTGGGCTCTTCTTGCAGGTCAGAGGAGGAATGGACTACAAAGCCAAGACCGTTGCAGGTCTCCTGGCAGCCACCTGTGTCTTCAGCATAATTGCCCTCATTCTGAGCGTCGTGAATGTGAAGGACGTGTTTCTGCCTCCCAGCACCAAGGTAAGGTCCTTGGGAGGAGCGCAGCTACATCACTTGGGTGCTGGCTGCACCCTTGGTATAGGATTTTCCCCAGGCTTCAGGCAGGCTGTGCTGTTTGTCACCAAGATGGGAAACAAACTTTTGCGTGGGCTGGCATGGTGGGTCTGGTAGAGTTTGGTCACCCACAGCGCATGCAGCCTTTTCACCGCAGAGCATTGCCAGCTCAAAGGGCTTGTAATGGAGCCTTGTCCCTGGCACAGCCGGTGACTGCAATGCCGCAGGGCTTTCCCTGTTATGGTGACACTCTTCATTTGGCCACTCAAGGTTCCCCTGCCCACCAGGAGCTCTGCTGGCTCTCCTGAAGCTCCCCTTGCTCTGCAGCAGGTGAAGCTGCTCTTCACCCACTGACACCCTGTGTCCCCTCTGCCTCCCCCAGTACGGTCTGGTGTTTGACGCTGGCTCCACACACACAGCTCTCTACATCTACCGGTGGCCCGCGGACAAGGAGAACGGCACCGGCATCGTCTCCCAGGTGGAAGCCTGCACTGTGTCCGGTGAGTGTGCCGGGACCTGCCCGTCCCTCTCTCCCCCTCCCCTGCTCAGCCATGGGACGCTGGGGCTGGCCGGCCCCAGGGCTTGCCAGGGGGGCTGTCCCGCAGCGCCAAGGCACGTGGGCTGCTTCATGCCAGGCGTGGTAAATAGTAAATGCCCCAAAGGGCATTTATTTATTGGGCATTTATAAATATGTGAAGGGATACTTATTCCCGTTGCAAAGGTGCTGTCAGGCTTTGGCACAAGGACTGGTCTCTCTGGGGGAATAGTGAAGGATGTAGGCTCAGCTAAATGGTACGTGGATCTGGGCTGGGACTGACAAAGGCCACCAGGCCAGGGCAGAGGTGCCTGGGCAGGGGCTGAGAGGGCTCAGAGCTCACCTGAACCTCAAATCCAGGCTCTGCGGTGGTGGCATGGCAGTTAGTGGGTAACTGCAAAGGTCTGGCAGAGGAAAAGTATAAGGGAGAGAGTGTAGGGGCTAATGGTAATAATGGTATGCAAAGCTTGGGGGAAGGTAAATAATGATTTTCCACCCCAGAGCCTGTCTCTACCCACCGCAGAATCATGCTGGGTACTCAGATCCAGTGCCAGCCTCTAAAAATAGGACCTCAGTCGGTGCAAAGGGCACCTTTGCATGTGAGTATTGGCTTTGCATGCTCTCCCAGCAGGACAAAGGAGAGCCTGCCCCTTCCCCAGGGAAATAAGGAACTGCTCTGTTTGTTGACCAAGTCCTGCAGGACCGGCTGGTCGCCTTCGGGTAGTTCAGCCTCCCTGGGATTAGACATGTGCTCAGCATCACAAGACTCACACCGTAGCCCTCCCCCTCTGTCCAGAGCAGGAGCTTGCTGTCGGCTCCCTCAGCGTGCCATGGCCGTGCTGCCTCCAGGCAGGCTGGCTCTGAGCACTGCCCTTCCAGGGACACCCTTGGCAAGGTCAATGCTAGCCCGAGTACATGGGAAAAAAACCCTGGGGGCTTTATGTGGGGACATGTCCCCTGCTGTCCTGTCCCTCCCGGGTAGCACTGAGCTCGCTCCATCACGGGGTGCCCTCTTGCAGGACCCGGCATCTCCAGCTACGCAGACGACCCCGCTGGGGCTGGAGCCAGCCTGAAGCCCTGCCTGGACAAGGCCATGAAGATCATCCCGGCAGAGCAGCAGCGGGAGACCCCCACCTACCTGGGGGCCACAGCGGGCATGCGGCTGCTGAGGTACCGGCACCGCCCGCAGCCGACCACCCCCAACCCCTTCCCCACCACGCGCTTCTGCATCGCAGCCGGCGCAGGGGGCTGGGATGGGGGGCTGGGGCTATGGGGCAGCTGCTGCCCGCGCCGGCCACGGTGATGGGCAGAGCATCCGTGCCTGCAGTCCACTGGGGTGTCCCAGAGAGCCGCTCGCCGTGCCCACGGGGGAGCCCCCTGCCCACCCCCGGCGCCAGCCTGGCAGCAGCCCCAGAGGTGGGTGAGCCTCCTTTGCCAGACTTGCACTGACCTTCCCGCCTGCTCAGGCAGAGCCCGTGGGCAGCACTGTCAGGGACACTCCCGGGGCACCGGCCGAGGGATTTGGCAGCTTTGCCCTGTCACTGAGCGGCCCCGATGCTTTGCAGAAGGCAGCAGCCTCGTGCTGTTAGCGCTGCTCTGAAAGCTCCCCAGCCATCGCCTCCTCCACTGCACAGTATTTATCTCCTTCGCTGGGCAGGGAGCAGAACAGCAGCAAGGCTGAGCGGGTCTTTGCCGAGGTCGCCAAGGCCATTGGCGAGTACCCCGTGGACTTCCGCGGGGCTCAGATCCTCACGGGGAACGAGGAAGGCTCCTTCGGCTGGATCACCATCAACTACCTGCTGGAGACACTAGTCAAGGTGCGAGCTCGGGGGGAGGGAAGAAGAGGGGTGAGCAGGGTCTATGTGCCTGTCTGAGCTACAGCTAGGTTTCTATATTCCCAGAGAAGAGAAAAATGTACCTTTAGGGCACTAGTCACCCAAAGAAATGTAGTCTGTGGTTGTGAACTGCAGCTTCAACTCCGCTGATGCGATTAACAGCATCAAGGGTCTTTGTGACCAGCTCAGCCTGGCCCTGCACTCTCCACTTTCGTATGGGTTGATTTTGGTATCACAAAACCAAACCCCGGGTGACAGTGTTACTATTTCGCTCCTCAAAATCCGTGCACCCCAGCTGATGCGCAGCATCCAAGGGGACAGACCTCAGTGCTACATGGAGGTGTATGTGGCTGGGGAGGACATAGGCAGGAAGGGGTTAAACAGGGAGATAAGATGTGGAAGGTCCCTCAGCAGTTTCTGAGCCCACAAAACTTTGAGGGAAGGGACAGGGACTGTGACTCCCTCCAGTTCAGACTAACACTTGCTGTTATACCGGGCCAGTATTCCTTTGCAGAGAAATGGGAACATCCACCCGACACTGAGGTTATTGGAGCTCTGGACCTTGGAGGTGCCTCGACACAAATAACCTTCCAGCCTGGAGTCTCCATTGAGGACAAGAGCACATCCGTCTTCTACAGGCTGTACGGCAGCAACTACTGGCTCTACACCCACAGCTACCTCTGCTATGGGCAGACACAGGCCTTGAAGATGCTGCTGGCAGCTCTCCACCAGGTACCACAGCCACTGGCCACCAGGATCTAATCAAACATTTCCCATTGCCGTGAGAAATGTCTTCCGGAAATGTTGGGCGTGCCTGTGGGAAAAGTGCTAGGCAGTTGGGAATTTTCATGCGTTCGAAAACCTGGGAGAGGCTTAGATTTCATCTACTGAACCAAAGATTTCTCTCATTTGGGAGGAAAGTGGTGGTGGTTCTCTCCTAGGGCTCCCTTCTCCCCAAATGTTGACATGTAATGGCATTTTTCATCATTTCCCAAGCCCAGCCGCATCCTTCCCCATTCACTTGCCCTTCCTCAATTTCTGCCCAGAGAGAGGATTCCCAACTCAGCTCCTGCTCACCACCCCACCACAAAACAGTGTCCTCCCCTCTCCCCCTGGACAGAGCGCACAGCCCAGTGCTGCAGGAGAGAGAGATGCTCGAGGAGCATGCAGGGGCGATGCATCTTTGGTCCCCTCGGCTGGGGCCTGCAAGATGCCGTGGGGACAGAGCAAATGCCAAGAGCAGCAAGCTCTCCGGGCAGGCAGAGGGCATGCCCTGCCCTCAGCAGCGGGGTGCCAGCCCCGCGGGGGGGCACAGGCTGGTAGTGGCATCACCACCCCAGCACAGCTCAGTGCTGGGGCCAACAGCAGGACCGGCAAAAGCCGTGGGCAGGTTAGTCGTGCAAAGGATGGATCCTGCTTCTACTCAAATCCCCCTGGGGCCTAGATCCTGCTTTGGGGGAATGTCTAAACACAGGGTGGGCTGTGGGGTCACTGGCATCCTGCACCAAGCCCCACTAACGGCTCCCACTCTCTCCAGCACAGCCCAACTGCCCAGCGGATATCACACCCTTGCTACCCCACGGGGTACCAGGAGAATGTCACCACAGCAGACCTCTACAGCAGTCCCTGTGTCCGTGCACCCAGCACACCCAGCCCTGCACAGGTCCTCACGGTGACAGGGACAGGCAACCCAGCAGCGTGCAGCACCGCCGTCCAGAAGCTCTTCAACTTCAGCTGTGAGGCCAACAAGACGTGTGGGTTCAACGGGGTTTATCAGCCGCCCGTGCGGGGACAGTTCTTTGTAAGGAGTCTCCTTCTCTTTGGATGTGGTAGGGGAGGATGAAGGGTGGGAGAGTCTCCTCTGCCACTGGTTGTGGAGAGGTGTGGGGAGAGAGGGGACCCCAGAGCTGGTCCCATCTGCAAACCTCTTCTCCTATGCTGGGAGGTGGCTTCTGCCTCCTGCGATGTCCCAGCGCTCCCTGAGGGAAATGGGAAGGTCTTGTCCCAAGGAGCAAGTCTGAGCTAGCTCAGATTGCAAGCAGCAGCCTCAGGGTTTTTCAACCAGCTCTAAGTCTTTTTGGTACACCATCAAGGGGGTGCTGGATGGAGAACCCTGGGAATTGCATGGGACTCTGATCCCAGACGAGAGGGGACCCTGGGTCTTTTTTTGGGGTGAGGAAGGAGATGTAGTTTTTACCATCTTCCCCTATCTCCAGGCCTTTGCTGGGTTCTACTACACTTTCCACTTCTTGAACCTGACCAGCCAGCAGTCTCTAAATGATGTCAACTCCACAGTCCAGACCTTCTGCAGTAAGAGCTGGGCAGAGGTGAGAGGCCTATGAAGGTCAGCAAGCAGCCCTGTGCCTGTCCTGTCCCAAATGTCTGCCCAGGAAGGACATGTCCTGCTGTTCCCTGGGCTAGGGAGGGTTTCTGAGCATCTGTTTCATTCCCCATTGCATCCACAGCTGGTGGAGACCTTCCCACAGCAGAAGAGGTACCTACACACATACTGCTCTGTGGCGATTTATATCTTGACGCTGCTACTCGATGGCTACAAGTTCAACGAGCACACGTGGAGCAGCATCCACTTCAGCCGGCAGGTAAACCCCCTGCGGGGCAGCGGGAGCGGGCAGGCAGCTGCGGCCACATCCTTGCCCTGGCCTCAAGACACATTCTGGAGCAGCATCCCTGGAGCCCTCTGTGCCAGAAATGTGTCCCCATCTCATGGCTGCTACCCAGTGATCCCAGCACAGCTTCACTCTTTCTTAGCTGCCCCCAAACCTCTGACACCAGATGTTTCTCACTGTTACGTGAACATAAGCTAATTTTAAGAGGGTCAGATTTGTCCACTTTGGTCTCTGATGTGAGGCAGAATTGACTTGAGCATCAGAGAGATGATGGTGGTCCTGTGACCCATTTGAACCAGAATATGACCAAATTTGAAGGATCATGGGGGAGGAGGAAAGCTCGGATCCTAAATCATGTGCAGGACACAGTGACACATGTGGGCCAGAGCAGTCATCCATGTTCAGCTGCCCTTTAGCCCTTGGGAAGCGGGACAGGAAAGCTTTCTCTGCAGCTGATGCTTGCAAGAACAGGTTCACCACAGCCAAGTCCATGTGTGAAATCACATCTGGGGCAGCTCATGGGAGAGGTGCCCATCAGTCCCTTGCACCAAAGCTACTAGTGCCCGAGAGGCGCTTTTGATCTCCTCTGCTTTCTCACCTCAGGCAGCAAATGCAGACATCGGATGGACGCTGGGCTTCATGCTGAACTTCACCAACACGATCCCCACAGAGGCTCTGGAACATGCCAAGGGGCACCAGCCCAGTCTGTGGGCAGGTGCCGTCTCCTTCATTGTGCTGGCCATAGTGGCAGGCCTGGTGGCAGTTTTCCTCCAGTGTTTCTGGAAAAACAAGTAGCTCCCAGACTCCTGACTAGAGGCATCCTGCTCACTAAACCAGTCAAAAGAAGGTGGAAGGGGGATGAGAATGAGGGCATTAGACCCATCTCCATTGCTCAGGAGGTCTAATTGGGTCATCTTTGTAAAGATGTCAAAGGTGTCTTGAGTGCCTCTAAGTACCTCCAAGAGGAAAAGACTCTGGCTGACAAAAGCTGACTGAGACTTGGTGGCTAGATGAAGCCAGATAAATTCAAATCAGAAATAAAATCTGTTTTGTTTTTCAAATACAAAATCCACTAACTAGCCTAGCACAGTTTCCTTGGCACTTCCAGTCCTGCTGGGCTGCTCTCCCAACAGCCATGGGAGGCAACTGGTGATGGAGAGAAGTGGTGGCCACCTAGACTCTGAGGAGAGGGGTGACCTTATCTGTATCTTGCCCTGTGCAAGATGTGCAAGATTTTAGTAGTATGTGACAGAATATCTTCTCAAAGACACTGTCAGCTGTCTTTAAAAATATTTACTGGCATAGCTCAGCAGAAAAATACAAGTGGAAGTTGATTTAAGAGCTGCCAACTCTGGCTCAAGGTTTATTTTATAATCAAGTTACATTGCCCAGCTTTGTCAGACACCAAACCCATAGCAGGTTCCAGCTCCAGGCACTTGAGTGTTTTAGTTAGATCAGCAGAGCCCAGCACAGCTCAGCTGCAGGAACTGGACAGTCATTTCAGTCCTTCCATCTCCAGCCACCAGCCCAGTGCCACACTGATCAGCCAGCCCTGTCCCCAGTCACTCCAAGGCTCTGCCAAAGCCCAGGGCTGCTCTGAGCAGGGATGTTTCCACAAGTACCTCTCCTCCGTGCTGCAAGACCCCTGCCCACACAGCATGAAGCAGTAACATCCAGGCAGGACTTAAGGGCTTAAAAAATGAACCAAAGGCATCTGGGCTGAGGAGTGGCCAGAGCCCTTTGGCTCTAGCAGATCCATGGGGTGTTTGCTGTGGAAGATGATGGTGGTCCTAACCCAAGGTGTTCTCCTATATAGCCTACTGCAAACTGGTTACAAAAGCCTTTCAAAAGAACAGCACCTCTCTGTCTGGTGGAGATGAAGGATACGTGACCCAAGAACCTGGGGAACTGTCCTCTACCTCCTGCTTGCAGATGGCTATCCTTAGCTTCTGCTCCGCTCTGGGGAGACCCCCCTGCAGTGCTGGGGCCAGCTCGGGGGCCCCCAACAGCAGAAGGACCCGGAGCTGCTCGAGCGGGGCCAGAGGAGGCCACGAAGATGCTGGGGGGGCTGGAGCAGCTCCCCTGGGGGGCCGGGCTGAGAGAGTTGGGGGGTTCAGCCTGGGGAAGAGAAGGCTCCGGGGAGCCCTTCGAGCGGCCTCCCAGGGCTTAAAGGGGGGGCAGGAGAGGTGGAGGGGGACTCTGGATCAGGGGTTGTGGGGATAGGATGGGGGGTAACGGTTTTAAACTGAAAGAGGGGAGATTTAGATTAGATACAAGGAATAAATTCTTCCCTGTGCGGGGGGTGAGGCGCTGGCCCAGGGTGCCCAGAGCAGCTGTGGCTGCCCCCTCCCTGGAAGCGTTCAAGGCCAGGTTGGACGGGGCTGGGAGCACCCTGGGCTGGGGGAAGGGGGCCCTGCCCATGGCACAGGCGTTGGAACTATATAATCTTTAAGGTCCCTTCCAACCCAAACCATTCTATGATTCATTGGAGTGAGGCTCAGCATTTCCAGCCTGAACTTGAATGACAAGGGAGGGGGGTGAAGACCTTCATCCAGAGCAACCTCTTCCCACCCAGCATTCTGAGCCCCTGCAGTCTGAGCTGCCACATGGACGTTTCCCACAGTCAAACACCAGATCCCCACCTCTTCTCTCTGCCCTGCACAAGCACATCTTTGGCAGTATAGGCACAGAGGTTAAAGTGCTAGGTCTGGGAACAGGCTGTAGAAAATGCTGTTGGACTGCTGGAACTGACCCCATAGGATCTGTGAGTGGGGACATCTCCTGTCTGAGTTCAGCAGAGCTCCTGGCTGTGCTGCTTGTGGCTGAAATGAGCTGGGACTGTATCTCTCACTCCTGGGAGACAGTGCAGTCGGGCAGGAAGAGGCTGCTGTTCACTATAGGAAGGCAGCACCACAACCGGTCTGGGTTGCAAAGCATTTGGGGAAGATGCCAGTCTTGCCATTGCAGTGTCCTTCAAGCCAGTCCTCATTCACTGGAAAGATATAAAGGAGCAGGATGAGCCCTGGCCCATATGAGTGGGGTTAGTGAGAGTTTTTATGGCTGGAATCTAACTCTGGGCAAAACCCAGCACAAGCCTGTACCTCCTGGGAGTATGAGCCTGAGCCAGCACTGGAGAGGCCATCTATTCCCCAGTCCACCCCTGTAGCAGACTCCAAAAGCCTGTCCCAGTACAAGCCTGCAGACAGGACTGGAGAGTTACCTTCAGAGAGAATATCCAGCATATCTCCTTTGCTGAACTCCAGGTCCCCTGGTCCCTGCGGAAGGTAAGAGTGCTGAGCCAGCATCCGGTAGAGGACAGGTCTGCTCAAGTGGGAGTCTGAGTCCTACAGGAGAAAGTCAGCATGGAGATTGAAAGGCAAAGCAGAGATTTGAAAGCAGCACAACAGAGAAGCTTGTCACAGCCCACGTACCTGGCAGCAGAGCGTCAGCCTGCCATCTGTCAGCTGCTGCCACATCTTCCCTAGATCCTCCTCTCCCAAAACTGCGCCCAGCTCTTTGCCGTCCGAATGCCTGTAGCTGCAAGGGTTCATTAATGCGGCTCAAACCATCTCACTTCAAGTCAAATTTGGAGGCAAGCCTAGCCCTCTACCATCCTCAGCCTTCCAAGTCCCCTTTGTAAGCCAGCTCTGAGCTTGTCACCTTGCACAATGACATGGGGCCACTCTGCATGCTCAGTGGGCAGAAATGGAACCGTTACCTCCTCACACACTTACTTGAAGGGAAGATCCTAAACTCTCCTGAGCTAAATTCTCCCCAGGGGGGTTACAGTCAAGGAGACCTCACCTCGGGACCAATGCATGCTTATACCTGACTCCCAGATTGCTCTGCATTGATCGTAGTGTATCTCAGAGGCTGAGGTGACCAGAAGAAAATCCAACATACAGCAGCTGTATCTGCAGAGTCTTTCTTTTTGTTCCTCTATTTCTTGACCCTGGTACAGTTTCCTGGGAAAGATCCTTCGGGCCTCCAAAGCCCATGGAGCACACACCATTCTCCAAACCAAAAGCCATGGTAAGGCTAGCTCTGCAAGGAAGGCTGTGCGCTCACATCTTTGCTGAATCTCTGCTAGAGTGCCTTGACCCCAATTAACTGTTCCCAGGAGACCAGATGCAGTCGGATGCCTGTATCCTCAGCGAAAGGGCTGAGCATGCAGGGGCATGCACCAAGAGTGCTGCAGCATACCTCAGCTTCCCTCGCTCTGCCTGTTGGCAAAACTGCTCCCTCAGTAGAGACCGCAGGTCCGGCAGAGATGGCACCTCACCCGCCCTCACCACCACGGTGCACTCACAATGTGCTCTCAGCACAATGGGTCTGTCCGTGCCAGGTGAAGCTTCTCCACGGGTCAGTGGGATCTGCTGAGAGATGTGGCACCATGAACAGTCTTGTTATTCAAACTTGATCTGAGAGGTGACATAGACACAACCCCTCTTCTCGCTGCTACAATGTAATGGTAGCATCAAAACACAGATCCGAATTTCACAGTGGGAACTACAGACTCAAAGCCTGGGATTAAATGTTCCTCCCATGATCCAGGAAGCCTGTTTCTGGGTCCAACTGCACAGGTACCTCCCAACCCCTGATCTATATGAGAAGGGCCTCAATTCCTCCAGCTAGCTGGAGAGGTGAGACCAAGTTCCCATGTTCTGCTGCCTTCTGTCTGAAGTACAGCTGACAAAAAATTACTCCAAAAGCCCCTACAAACAGGGGTGGTAAAGACAAAGTGAGCAGAGCTGATTTGCAGCTGGCGCTGCCAGAGAGGTGCTGTCCCCAGGTGGACACAGAAGTGATTCCAGCTCCATCACACACAGCGGCTGCTAATGGTGCATCAAAGGACATCACCCCAGAAGAACACAAATATGAATGAGTTATGGTAGCCAGACTGCAGGGACAGAAAATGCCACACAGGAGGAAGTGGGGAGGGGCAGCAGGTAGCTCAAAGACAGTTCTCTCCTGCAAAATGGGCTGCAAAGTGCATGCCTGAGAACACTGCTGTGGTTTGGGCTCTTAGCTCCTTGGAGGGTGGAAGAAGGCCACTGTCCTGGTAAGCCTCAACTCTAGGCTGCCCCACAAACTTGTATTGTCACAAAACTGGGAGTGGTGGAGGGAAAACCACATGGGAACCTCTCTTTGGAATGGGAAAATGGGCAGAGGAAGAGTTTTTTCCAGTGATTTTGGGGCAGCTCAGGAATTCTGGAGGATCTGGCTAGGAATATTGCACTTTTGCAGCCTTGATCTCTTGAGGGTGTGCCAGCTTTGGCTTGTGAAACACCTTACCTTGAAGTCCATTTGGGCACTAGCATCATTTGCAGAGACATTTTCTCCCCTGGGAAATTCTGCAGAACAAAACAAGAGCAGGGAAACAGTGCCTGTAGTCAGTAGAGGCTCCCGGCAGCTCTTCTGCAACCTGCTAGCACACAGGCAGCCATGGCTGCAGTGGGCAACCAGCCTCCCCACGCACCCCTAGAGCAGAGGGGTTTGGGCACAGGTTCACATAACACCCATGGAGGTCTGGGGGACCCCCCTGGCCTGGGGGACTACCTGGCTTCTGCTTCACATGGAGTAGGCTGGGAGGCACCTGAGCAGGAGGGAGGGGAATCCCGTTGCCGATCTTCTGCAACAGAACATCAGAAAGGAGTGAACAGAAGATACAGGAGAGTGGGGAAGGCTGGTGTGCATGACAGATACCGCAGTCAGTTACAAATTTCTGGGTGTAATCCCAGAGAGAGCCCCAGGGAGACCAGCTCATTAAATGGCTGGATGAGGTGGAGCACTTGAGTTCTTTATGGTCTCTGCAGCTCTTGTGGGTAGCAGGGGTGATGAGAG